TGTGTTCATTTTATATCAGTCGATGTTTGTCCCTTGACATCTAAGAATCTTCACTTAGCCAATCGCATTCAGTATGATCATGCTCGATCATTCATAAAATCATATCTGACCACTAACACTTAAACGCAAGTGAGTGTAGTCGGGCTAGATCATTTCTATAATTCATGTTTATTTCGGTCAACTCTTCCAACAACCCTAGAATCAGAAAGAGGCTCATTAAACTGATCTATGCTTCTGCCAACTTGTAACTAGCCACTTCTTGGTTATACAATCACTTGTTTGATTGACGGTGCCAAGCATTTTCGCTCCATATTGAGACTTTTAAAAATCATCTGATAATTAAAATAGTTCATTTAAGAAACTCATAAACCCCTCTATATTTTTTGCCTTTTGATCAGAGCCTCTGATTAAAATAACTCACTAAAAAAATTCTTTGGTGATCCGAAACTCATCTAAAGGTTTCTTTATTAGAACTTAACTTCAAGTCTACCTCACCAATAATACACAATAAAAATTTATTGAGGCGGGGGAGAGATGGGTAGAGAAAGGTAAGTAAATGAAAGAGCAAAAGACGGTGATAAAAAGAGAATAGGAAGAAAGGGGGGTAGGATGGAAGGGACAGATTCATGAGGTTGATAAAGCTAGAGAGATAAAGAGAGAAAGAAAGACATGAAGTTAAATAGAGAAGAAACCATCTGATAATTAAAAGAGTTCATTTAAGAAACTCATAAACCCCTCTATACTTTTTGCCTTTTGATTAGAGCCTCTGATTAAAATAACTCACTAAAAAAATTCTTTGGTGATCCGAAACTCATCTAAAGGTTTCTTTATTAGAACTTAACTTCAAGTCTACCTCACCAATAATACAACAAGATGCATTAGCATTAAGATCATTCCATATTTTTTAAAATAAAAAATAAATAAAAATTATGAAATAAAGTTTTCTTATGTCTCATTTATTTTTGCATATTCTTTTATCACATTTTTCTATTTATTACATTAGAACTATTACATTAGAAAATTTAGAAAATATTCTAAGGGCATTTACATACGTATCACTGCATTCAATCTATTTATGCATACAACACCTAAATTTGCTTTATATATATATATATATATATATA